TGTGGTAATATAACCTATTGATCATTTTATCATTTTCTGTAAGGCCTTTGTATAACTAGCAGTAAGTCTAGGAAGATGTGGGCATTCTTGGTGGGGGTAGGAGTATCTTTGCTCAGAGTGCCTCATTCTGTTTTGATTCTGCCAGTTTAGAAGGAATAGGAAAATGGGTGAAAGTTCAAGGTACAAGATACACAGTTGTGCTTTCTCATGGGACTTTCCAAACTTTCCCATGAGACTTTCCGTGGCTATATGATCTCATCCTAGCAAGGTAACATCTGGGACTTTCCAAGATTGTGTGTTCTCATGCTGGTGAAGTAATCTCCTGTTGAGGTCATTGTTTTCTGAATATGCATACTGTATATTTTGCTTGTGTTTTTTCTCAATAAATACTGCTACCTGAGTTCTCTCAGGGTTGGCATTTTTCTCAGAGACAGTTCCCTGTGTCTCATTTCAATGTCAAACCACCATAGTTATTTTGTAACATTTTAAATGAATCAATTTATTTTGCAAACTGGAAGATGTGTTATCATAATCTGCATTACATCAATGTCAATACAGAAGAACAAAAGAAAGATGATGTTATATGTATAATTTTCATATTTCACCAAAGTTGTTGGAATAGGAAAAATAGAAGTAGAAATGTATTTTGTAGAAAAGGAATGTCCAGAAACTCTACACGTTTTACCCAATCAAGAAAATATTCAGATCATATCACCAATTGAATCCAATATCTACACATCCTACTTGGGTCTTTATTTTTCTACTAATGTATAGATTAATTTTTTTCTCCTGGTTGGCTTGGATTGCTATGATGTACTTTAGAGAATCTCAGTTTATAGTTGGATGAATGATATTGTAGAACTGTGTGTTTATATAGGTGAAACTCAGAAAATTAGAATATCGTGCAAAAGTTCATTTATTTCAGTAATGCAACTTAAAAGGTGAAACTAATATATGAGATAGACTCATTACATGCAAAGCAAGATAGTTCAAGCCGTGATTTGTCATAATTGTGATGATTATGGCTTACAGCTCATGAAAACCCCAAATCCACAATCTCAGAAAATTAGAATATTACATGCAATCAATAAAACAAGGGTTGTACATAGAACAATATCAGACCTCTGAAAAGTATAAGCATGCATATGCACTCAGTACTTGGTTTGGGCCCCTTTTGCAGCAATTACTGCCTCAATGTGGTGTGGCATGGAAGCTATCAGCCTGTGGCACTGCTGAGGTGTTATGGAAGACAGGATGCTTCAATAGCGGCCTTCAGCTCTTCTGCATTGTTCGGTCTCATGTCTCTCATCTTTCTCTTGGCGATGCCCCATAGATTCTTTATGGGGTTCAGGTCAGGTGAGTTTGCTGGCCAATCAGGCACAGTAATCCCACGGTCATTGAACCAGATTTTGGTGCTTTTGGCAGTGTGGGCAGGTGCCAAGTCCTGCTGGAAAATGAAGTCAGCATAGCATCCCCATAAAGTCTTCGGAAGGAAGCATGAAGTGCTCCAAAATCTCCTGGTAGACGGCTGCGTTGACCCTGGACTTAATGAAGCACAGTGGACCAACACCAGCAGATGACATGGCTCCCCAAATCAACACAGACTGTGGAAACTTCACACTGGACTTCAAGCATCTTGCAGTGTGTGCCTCTCCATTCTTCCTCCAGACTCTGGGTCCTTGGTTTCCAAATGAGATGCAAAAGTTGCTCTCATCAGAAAAGAGGACTTTGGACCACTGAGCAACAGACCAGTTCTGTTTTTCATTAGCCTAGGTAAGACGCTTCTGACGTTGTTTGTTGTTCAGGAGCAGCTTGACAAGAGGAATACGACATTTGAAGCCCATGTCCAGGATCCATCTGTGTGTGGTGGCTCTTGATGCACCGACTCCAGCCTCAGTCCACTCCTTGTGAAAGTCCCCAATACTTTTGAATGGCCTTTTCCTGACAATCCTCTCCAGGCTGCGGTCATCCCTGCTGCTTGTGCACCTTTTTCTTTCACACTTTCCCCTTCCACATAACTTTCTATTAACGTGCTTTGATACAGCACTTTGGGAACATCCAACTCCTTTTGCAATTACCTTTTGAGGCTTTCCCTCCTTATGGAGAGTGTCAATGATGGTTTTCTGCACAACTGTCAGGTCAGCAGTCTTTCCCATGATTGTGACTCCTACTGAACCAGACTGAGAGACCATTTAAAGGCTCAGGAACCCTTTGCAGGTGTTATGGCTTAATTTAGCTGATTAGAGTGGGACACTTTGAGCCTAGAATATTGAACTTTTTCACAATATGCTAATTTTCTGAGATTGTGGATTTGGATTTACATGATCTGTAAACCATAATCATCTCAATTATGACACATCGCGGCTTGAACTATCTTGCTTTGCATGTAATGAGTCTATCTCATATGTTAGGTTCACCTTTTAAGTTGCATTACTGAAATAAATGAACTTTTGCACGATATTCTAATTTTTCGGGTTTCACCTGTAGACTTTGGAAATGGTATATCAGAAGGTACAAATCATCTGTTCAGTAAAGATAGAAGCATAAATATATTGAAAATTAGAGAGCAGAGTAAAAACAAAACCAATCATAAAATATAGCTTGGATTGTTTATTTTAAATGTTTACTAAATATTTTAAAATTTAAAGGCATTGCGGAAATAATGTATTTAGGGTGGTGCTAATGGCCTAGAGGTGGAGCTCTGGCCTCACAATTAGGAGGCTGTGAGTTCGATCCTAGGTAGAGGCAGACATTTCTCTCTCTGGGCACAATGAGAATATATCTGCTGAACAAAAGTCCACCTTGGTGACAGGAAGGGCATCCGGCCAGTAAACACTCTGCTAGTTCCATTCAGTCGCCCAGACTCCACCCCACAAGGGATGATGTGATAGTTAAAACAACATGATGATGATGTGGAAATAATGTATTTAGGAATGTACTTAATTTTTTAAATAATAACTTGATTCTCAATTTAACTATCCTGTCAAAGCTGTCTCTACTAGAACGTAGACTGCTATCCCCATTCTACCTGCCAACCTTTTGTTCGAGAGATTCTCTGTCCCTTTATTGACAACATTTCTCTCTTCGTATTTATGTTATTATGGTGGGAGAGGTTTTTTATTTATTTTTTATTTTTTTGTAAAATTTATAAACCACCTGACTCTACTGCAACTCTGGTCCCTGTTCTATCTATAGAAACAGACAAAACCAATTTCCATCTCATAAATCAGACCTAGGAAAAGAGCCAGATTTGAAGGCTCATCCAAATAAAGTAGGGTGAGGATCTATGGATCTCTTGGGGAACATCATTCCAGAGAATATGTGCTATGGAAGAGAAGCACCAGTCCCTTGGCTTTCCAAGTTGCATTGCTTAATCAATAGAACTCGAGAATGCCAACTTTGCCAAACCATATAGGGTGGGCAGCAAGTAACTTGAGCCTATGCTATGAAGGGCTTTATAGAGGATAACCTATAGCTTGAATTTCATGCCCAATGAAATCTATGCAGCTCCAGGAAAAGATACTTTGTAGGCATTACAAGACATACCCACAATAACCCATGCCTCTCTGCATTTTGGATCAGCTGTACTCCATGTAGCCTACAAAAGCAAATCCATGTAGAATTCATTGCATCAGACCACAGGCAAGATGACTAGAACCTAAGTAGGTACTTTAAGGACCTCCTAGGGCAGATACAGGTACAGTTGGTGATACTTGAATCTGTACTTAATCATGGTGTATTGAGGTATGAAATCTTGCAGCTGCCTCCTATTCCTTAACCCACAAAGTACATATCAGTCCTGAAGGACTGCAACTCGACTTAGGACTAAAGAGGAGCATCTCCGGATCCAAGTGATAGAAATGCTGTCAGCCAACAGGTCTTGTCAGCATTGACCCTGAGCGTGTTCCCCTCCATCCAGACTCCCATGACCTCCAGGCATTCACTAGCTATAGTTTCAATTAAGCACTGTATTCTGTATTCCACCTAATGGACACACTTGATAAATGCTTGCACAGACTGGCACCTAGGGACAGAAACCCAGGTGTGGCTGGTTCTGACTTTTTTGAAGCAGTATATCACAAAAATAAAAGGGTATATATGGGTTTCCATAAAATCATAATGGCAAATCGTACACACACAGACATCATTGCCATTAATCATGGGGCTGTAACTAAACCCTGATGGCAAATTTCCTTGAACGCAGTTTAATGAGAGAGATGCATGTTATGGATACCATCTATGAGAATATCATCTGGTAGGATGCCAGGTCTTTTCTGTCATGGGTCATGCCCTGTGGAATATCACTCCCTCCTCCAAACCTTAGATTGGCCCTGACACTCTCAGCCTTTAGGAAGACCTGAAAACATGGCTCTTCTGCCATGTCTGGACAGTCTGGTAATGGTGGGGAGCTTTTACAGTGGCTATGTTGAGTTAGTGTAGAGTGAATTAAACATTTCCTGCTTTAAAATAATAATGGGTGGTTTTTATATGTTTAGTATATTGGTTTTTAACTTGTTTTTATTGGATTATTGTAACCTCTTGTGAGCTGCACTGAGATGCTTAGATGAAATGGGTGGCCATAAACACTGAATAATATTAAAGTAAAATAAATATTTCCTTTCAAACTACCACATTTTTGATACTGTGTTGAGAGTTTTGGAAACATTGTTAGAATTCTCCAGTTCTCATCTGGTCTGTATAACTTTAAAAGATTTAGTTTCTCAGGTACAGTCCTCTTGTGAGATGGCATGTATTTATTTCCTGATACTCATGAAGCATTTTGCTTGTTTGTTTGCTTGTTTGTTGTCTTTTAAATATTAAAACATATTTTACTTATATTATCAATTAAGCACAATCTGAAGATCACTTTAAGACTGATACGGCTGATTCAAAGAAACATAAA